CTTCTGCGAAGTAAAGGAACCCCTGTAATCGCGAAAAGGTTTGGGTATTATATTTCATTAGAGTGGTCCCTCTCAAATCCAAGTTAACGATGTTTTTGCGTGGCATCTGTACGTACAGACAGAATAACGGATTCTTTTCCCAAAATGGATTGTAATATCGATTTAAAATGGATTCAGAAGACACTTTTTGTGACTCCTGTACGTCATATATACATACGTATGTATGTATCTCGCATAACTCAAAAACCAGAAGCCTCAAAACGTTGAAATTTTGTGTGTGAGACTGCTATAACATTTATGTGTCCACCTCCATTTTTGATGGCCATCGGCCTCATCAAATGTATGTTAAATATATGTATATACATATATTTAACATACATATGTATATACATATATTTAACATATATATGTGTGTGTGTGTGTGTTTGTATGTGTATACCTACGCTGTTGTGAGCTCGGTGTTTTAATTTTGATATATTGGTAAATTGTGCATTTTTTTACTTTAAAAGTGATTGAATTATGTTATTCTTATATTCCGGATATACTTTTTATGCCTTTAGTTAATATGAATGCACTAGTTGTATAATTATCAAAAAAGTTTAATTAAAGTTGTTTAAGTGGTACTAAGTCTGACGAAGCTGCCATTTGCTCACATTTGAAATGCTTAGTGCGTAGAATAGTGAATTAAGTCAATTTGTGCACCAACTTTAGTGCTTTCTTGCGAGTCGGACCAAAAGTAAACTTTCAAAGTTGAGCACCGAAAAATCTATCTTCTTGCCCGACGACCAAATTGCTTGGTTTTACGCGAAAATTTTAATTGTAATTTGGTGCATTATGCTTTCCTGTATTTTACAATTTTTAATGAAGAAATTTTGAGTTTTTATGTGTCTTCGCGTTGTCACGAAATGAGAAATGAATTAATTGAATGAGAAATATATCTCTAATGAAATTCAAGGAAATAAGTTTAAATAAAATGCAGCAAAAAATGTATAATTTTAATAGGCCGTACAAAGAAGTCACATCACATGTGGTGTCCACATCAGATTTTTTACTGCAAAAGACATGAAAAATGTGCAATGTCGTCGGCGGAACTCGAAACCTAGACCTTTGAAATAGGTGTCGAGTGTGCTTCCAGTTACACCACGAAGGCATGCCGAAAGGAGGGAGAAAATACCTTATATATTCTCTCTTTTAGGTGGCTACTGGGGATGCGAGGACCCAATCGTCAAATTCTGATGGTGACGGTTCATAACCTTTTAGTATGGGCCCCACTGTAGAGTCATTAGGTTTTTTGATGCTGTAAACGTGAAAAATGTGCAGTGCCCTCATCGGCACTCGAATCCTGGACTTCTCGAATACGCGTCGACTTTGCTTCCAGTTACACACGAAGGTGTATGGGAAGGAGGTAGAAAATACCTTACAGTAAAAATTAATTCTTTTATTCAATGTTCGAAAAGAAGTGAAAACGGTGCTTTCTGCAACCTAAAGCAAGATTTAGCAAAGAATTCATGTTTAATTTTGAAATCTGATATAGCGCAGGTTAAAAAAATTACAGAGAAGATTATCAGTCAAAGAATATCAATCAAACTAACATTTTAACTTCTTTCTTTTAAGACAAAACTTTTTTTTCTTTATGTATAAGGACATCAGAGAGTACAACTCCGTAAAAATAAAACTGCCTATCGTATATTCGAATTTATAACAAATAAAGTATGAGGAAGACTACGGAATGCAGAATAAGAAAATGTCTAGCAAATTACGAGTCGTATGTCTGGAAATCAAAATGTAGGGAGGTAATCTGCGGAAAGGACGTATTCAGAATGATTACTTTTATTAAAGACATTAGTTATGATAAAAAGAATTTGATCTTTAAGCAGCTTTTAATTTTGGATTTTATGTGTGGAAGCACATTATACAAGAGGATCCTAAAGTAGTCAGCGGAAAAATCGTCGATACGATCATACTTCTGTTTAAAATCTCCTAAGAAGCTAATTTTTTTTAACTATATATATTGTATGTTTCGTCAGAAAGGATAATTTTTTTTTGTTAAAATGTCTTAATGAATGACTCTAAATGACTCTAAACTATACATATTGGAAACGGTTTTCTTCAAAACTATCTCCCTCTTAGGAATGTATTAGTTAGGGATGGTATATTAAAATTCAGACAATTCTGAAACTGATTAAAGATTCGACAACTAATGTTTTCGCTTTTCTTCATTTTTATTAGAATTTTCCAAAAATTTTTAATTCATAAATTTAGAAAGATATCCAATGTAATCCACTGAAAAATATGAGGCAACACCTTAAGATAAATAAGTTACTGATGCTTCTTAATTTCCTGGAGAATTATTTACGTTAACGCTTTGATTTACTATTACGTTAACATTCCAGATTTGATAATTATTTACGTTAATGTTTGAAATTTTCATCTCTGCCCCCTTACATGACTGTTTAGAAAAAAGATTCTAGAAAAAATGTTAAATATTTCAACTGTTAATAAAAAAACACTTTCTACCAAATTGTTTTAAGAAAATGTATTTAAGGTTTCAAGAATTTTAGTTACTGAATTTCATTGACATTTTCTTAAAAGTATATGTAAGTATTTTAAAAATCTGTGTTATTAAAGGTTCTTTTCACTGGATGCCGATTACAAAATATGCTTTCATTAAAAAGTGTTTTCTTTGCGTCCTTATTATTATTCTTATATGAATGAATAGGAAATATCATAATTCGAAAAATGTTTTGGATCTGAATTCCGGAAAATTTTAATTTGTGACACTTATAATATTACTAATCCATTAAGAGATATGCAAATACGTTTTGTTTTATAACACATGTCTTTAGTGTTTTTACATTTAACAGCTTTTTTTTACAAGATGTTTTTGGTTTTTTGTTTCCAGTTACCTATTCTCATTCAAATCTATATGATAGCTGTTGCTTTTTATTTTTAGTAAATAATAATTTGAGTAGTTCTCTATACTTAATCAAATGAAATATTTGAGAAGCTATAAGTCAAGCTAAGTTTAATCGCTCACTATTTTAAGCTCAGGAATTGGAGGACATTGTAGTGTTGCATGAACACATTAAAATAGTTATTGTCGTCTCTCGAAGGCAGTTTCGAAGAGCTCTGTTGCTGCTGATTTAGAGTCATGATAAATACCTTTATTGGCAATAAATTCCCTTTAACGCGGTTCTCTTATTTCCTCTGACAATTCAACGGAAATTGTCTCGAAAGCCTTTTTTTTTTTATTTTAATTTTGTTTTCACTTCGTGACAAACGTTATAAATATCTTCGCTCCCTGGGCAGCATGGTATCGATGGAAAGAGAGATCCCGATACGATTTAGATGGGATTGAACTTTTAAAGAGTTTTTTATGGATAAATAATACGTGCAACCTCAATAAAAAGTAACAGGTGACGTTTTTGGCTGGGCTATAAGACTTTTGTCCCCTGCTGATAAGATGGCACATCAAAAATGTTAAATATTTCGGGAATAATATTTTTCCATTTATTTTGGAACATCTAAAAACATTACTAAGTTATAATTTCTGAACGTTTTTAACTTTAATTAACTGGAGTTTAGTTGAAATACTACTGTAATCTATCAGCAATGATCTCGACAGATTACCGTAATATTTCGATTAACTTCGACACTAAGAAACATCCGATAAGTTGAATTGCGTCCATGCAGGAAAAACTATTAAAGATAACCTTTCTCTATAAATCATATTTCGTGAGTCAAAATAAAAGACAAGTCGAATTTTCTCCGAATAATTTTGAAATTAGTTTATATCACTTTCTTGGTAAACTTTAAAGCTACATTATAACTACAAATTTGAATCTAAACACTGGATAAATTTTTCAGACGAATCTTTGTCCAGTCTGTAACTAAAACCCAGTAGCACAAAAGTGATAACTAGACCATTTATAAAAATAAACTGAACCATTTATGAATCGCAGTGAAAAATGAATAATAGATCAATTATTTAAAAATCAGATATTAAAGATAAAGAACTTATATGGTAACGTGCTCCTCAAGTATTATAAATGAAAGCTAACCAACAATTAAGCACATCACTCTTGCAAACTGAATTAGTATTATAGCAATCCGAGTTTCCTACCACAACCATTTGAGAGAACTTTTAGCTCACTGTGCGGTTTTAGTGCCTCCATGCCGCACAGATACCGTACACTTACAAACATCCATGGATGACAAGTACATGACACCGCATTTTGTTCAAGAAATAAAAGCATAACATCTATAAATATAAAGATTATATTAAATGATAAAGATCATATTAAAATGATCGTACTAAAATTATCACAATATTTTCGCTTTGAATGAAGTGGAAGTATCTCCAAATACAAAGAAAATATTTTACTTAATTTCGTTATCACTTTCAAAGATAAATTTTAATCTAATTTAGTACTTCTTTCAGAGTTCGGTGATATTTCTCATATGTTGCGCGTTTTACACAGCGGCTATCGGTATTTTAAAATTATCATTTTTCACAAATAGCATTTCAGTTATTTTAATATGAGGTACATTGTTTCATTTAGTTTTGCTTCCAAGAGTTACATTACTCCCTATTTACACATACAGTTAATTCATTTTTTTATTCATATAAATAAATTCCAGTACTTTAGTGTTATTCTTTAATTGAAGCCGAGTGCCTTGGTTATGATAACGATAATATGCAAATCGATAATCGTCTTCTTTCATATGTCTTCTCTCAAAAATGATATCCTCCACATAATAAAATTGTCTAAATACGTGGAAGGGGATCATAGAAAGGGTTCACTGTATGTTTACTTATTAATTACATACTTAATTTAATTTTTGTATATGTATTCTCACTCTGTATTATATATTTACTATAATTTTAAAATAATATTGTCTGTTTAATTACTGAAAGTTTTGCAATCGCAATTATCATCTGCTATATTGAATGTATTTCTACTATAAAATAAATCTTTCTATGATTTTAAATTATAAAGGTGATCACTGTATAATGACGCCAGCTGAAACGGAACATGGAAAGAAAAACATATTTGGTTGTCCTTGTCAAGAAGGTCTAGAATGCGTTCCTGGAGAAGTTGTAAAAGAAAATGGGGTAACTTTCCTTCTTGTGAAATTTTTAAATACCTTAAAAGACTTTTCGTTTTCAAAATTTTAGAGAATACATCACGGGGAACTGCAACTTCATTATTTCTTGAATAGCAATAATAAAGATATAACGCTTATATTAACTCAAGAGCATCTTTAAAAATGTAAAATAAATGTACAGTTCATCTTTAAAGAAAAGGATTTTTGTCTATAAAAAATTCGAAAATAAAACAACACACATATTGAATTTATAGTCTCATACAAGAATTTCAGCATTTAATAACTTTATAAGTCAACATAAAGCGCCAATTTAGGATACATATATATGGCCATCGAGAAAGAAAGCCTCAGTTGTGAAAATATGGGACATTAAAGAGTTAAATATACTAAAATGATTCAAACGTTAAATGCGGTAAAACAACGTAAATTCAGAAGTTTTTAAAAAGCCTAGAGCAGGAGAACAGAACAAATGCATTAGCGTGAAGTCCAGTCTTGCCCATCTAGAAAACTTAAATTTCATAGATGCTGAGTTTTTCAGATGGATCTCTATTTTAGCTAGGATCGACTGCACGTCTCCTCTTTAAAAAGGGAAGCACCGATAAAAAACATTTAAACCTTTTTTATTTGTATGTTCGCTGCGTTCTTTTCCTTCAGCAAAAATGCTTTTTCTCATTTTTATATGTATGATATGCTTAAATTTTGGTAAATTTTGTATAATACGCTTAAATTTTGGTAAATTTTGTATAATACGCTTAAATTTTGGTAAAGCATAATACGTTTGTGTTAATCATCCCTATACAGATGCTTTGAACAAGAACAAGAAAGGCCGCCCAAACGGTCGGTGATTGCCGTGCCAAAGGGCTTAGGTTTGAATCTCGGAGAAGGCATGGATGTTTGTAAATATCTAGTCTCGGTGCAGCATGGCGGCACTCTAAATATGCGGCGAGCCGAAAGTCCTCTCGTGTGTTTGGTTGAAGGAAAGAGGGGCGGGAGACCCTCGGACCCGTCCCCCCTGGTGCTGTCTATCAAAATTAGGGGCAGAACTGAGCCAAATCGCACTGTCACCTTTTAGGCGCTCAAGGCTGTTGCCAACGACAGGCGCAATCTTGCGCTCTTTGCCACTAGGAATTTCGCAGGCTACGTCAGACAAGTGAGCATAAGTAACAAGAATGAGTAAATACGCTTTGGCGTTGCTTGAGTACGCTGTTTTAAATACTTTTATTGATACTGCAGCTTTCATTTAAGTGTAAGACTTTGTTGGCTGTAGACCGTGCATTCTAAAAGATTTCTTTTTATTATTTATCGGTATTTTATGTCCACAAAGTAAAAACTTCAAGGACAAAGTTTTTATTCAACACTAATTTTATTTTGATTAACTGAAGAATAAAATGTATGCATCAGTATTGTAAATTCAGTAAGGAAAGAAAGTAAAGCATTTTCATATGCAGATGATTTCAAATGCTTTCGGTTGTCTATTGTTATTGAAAGATCAAAATTTGTTGTAGAAAATAAACTGTTCTAAAATACAATGAACAGCTTTAAAATATGCATCGTATGAGCATGAAAATAAAATGTAACATTTCCATCAATAGATATATTTAGATATTTAAGTTTTTATGAATAATTATTTGAACAATTTGTAAAGGCAATGAAACAGGTTGGTTATTTTTAAACTATTGCTTTTTACTAACCTTCTTTCCAGTTTTCGTCTGATGGAATTTTTGTCGACCTGATTTGTTGAAATGATCTAAGAATGGTTACGTTACGTTAAATTTAGCACGAAAAAACACTCGCGGTTTATGTAGCTTAGGAAAGATATCTACAGTAAAACGTTCTGAGGAAATATTCTCGTACGCTAATTAAGTGCGATGAAAAGCACAAAATATAGGTACAACCAGGACGTTCGATTGCTTAGAACAAAATTCTCAAGAGCTACTACTGATCAGTGGGAATACATATTCAGCTATTTGTGTGTGGTCAAAATAATCATAATCTTCAGCACCTAGTTCAAGGCATGCAACATGCGTCGAAATTTTAATTTCATAATGCAGGAAACTAGGCGCAGGATCGCGAATGCAATTCCGTGATTTAGTATTTGGTGAAACATTGATAGCATAACTCTCTTAACAGTTTGACATTTGAATCATTTCGATATTCTTAAAAAATTAGGCCTAATTTATTTTTTAAGTGCCGACTTGCTTTTTTGGTGATACAGTATTTAATTCTTTACCCTACAAGAAATATATTTAGCTGGTTTTCATGTAGCAAATACAATGAAAAAAATAAATAAACACAAAACACTTTTCCTCTTAGTAAAAACACTAATTAAAATAAGTAACACTTTTGCGAAATCCCGTGAGCTTTATGTTGACTGAAAGATTAAATTACTTTAAATCTGAATTTAGAACGGTATATAATTTCTTTATTTTTCACATTTAGACGCAAAATGATCTACTTTTTTCTTTTACCTTAACATAGAAGTATTGTTTTTTATACGATGTTATACCGGCAGCAAACTACTCTTCGACAAACTATTTAACACTTTTCCCTTGCCATCAAATTTGATGTCCATTACTTATCCTGGATGAAATTGTAGTATAATGATGCAACTGAATATTAAATTCGCACTATTAAAGGGAAAAGAATTTTTATTGGAGTAACTTTATTTGCATTTTACAACGAAGGTTACTTTCTGAGTATTAGATAAGATATTACACAGAAATGCATTGCTGTTGCGTTAAGAAAGACATTTATTTAAAAACGTGTAGCAAAGTCGAAAGCATCAAGAAAATATTATTCGCAATTTAGACTCTTCATCGTTTAACAAATTAGGGATATAAATAGTAAATTTATGACAGAGGTGTATGAAAAGGGAAAAAAATTAGAATTGAGAAGTTATTCAAAATGAGAAATGTTTTAAGTAAAAGCAAGAAAAAAAGGAAAGGAGATTTTTATGATTATGAATAAGTATCATAAAAAGGATATATATTTATCGGTTTTAATGTTCCTAATTTAAATATTTATGTAACACTCTTAATAAATATATATTTGCACTCGAGAATATAGAGTTTTCATGACGAATAAAATATTTATGATGTTTATAATATTTTCTAAAATTATAACACCGCTAAATATCACTTGAGCAATGGATCATAGCGGTCGCATTTTGAAGAATAGATCAAATAAGATATCGATTACACACTGATGAAGAATCATGAGATCAAATTATTTTCCATTCATCCACAGTTCAGTGATTGCCGTGCAAATTGAGAGAGCTGTTTGCGACGCCCAGCTATCAGCATAAAGTGTTATCCATAAATGTCTGCGCTAGAAGCAAATGCAAAGGTAGTTTTAAATATGGTCATGTTGAAGATATTTCTAGTAGCTGTTTTTTTTTAATTTGAAAGGCTCATTTATCCGTGAAGTTCTGGGTTTTCTTAATGTAAATTTTTTCTTGCAGCATGTTGAGCTGACATGCTATGTCGTCAAAACTGTCGGCTCATCTTTAAGCTTTTAGCTAAATCTGTCAATCTTGTATTTTTTATCCATAATAGTATCTATTAATACATTAAATATAAAAATTGCGAAACTGTAAATCATATTTGAAAAAAGTTGAAATAAAAGACATGAATTCTTTCACAATATATTGGGGTTGCGAATTTCATTTTAAATTAAATTTGGATTGTTTCAAAATGTATTTTCCAAATCGCTTTTAAATAAAGAGAAAATACACAATGTTTATTAAATAAGCAAACTGTTGATTTGATGTATATAAATCCCTTCAAAGAAGCATAATAATCAATTATAGCATTTAATCTGTACAGTAATATTCCAATAACTGTTGAACAGTTTGTTTTGCATTTGCTGAGAATTTTATTGATATATTTCGTTTTCTACTTTCAGAAAACCATTTACAGAAACTTGACTTGCAATGCCGCAACCTTCTGAAAAATCCTGAAAAGAGCTTCTCATTTTCATGACACAAGTGTTAAATACGATGCAGCGATTAAATAATACAAATATCCGTATCAATTGAAATTATTTTTATCTCAACGAACTTTTGTTACTGTTACCCTTTTAATAAAATACGGAAAACTATATAGAAATGTAGTTTAGGGAATGAAGAAGTGAGTACTTTTATCCTAGCGAAAGAAAATAATTAAATCACAAATAATTAAAAATTCATTAAGTCTTGTAAGTTAAGATTTATATTTTCTTGTAAAAGAAAATATTGGTTGACACTGTTTATAAAAATTTGGAACTTTTTTCCCTCCATTGAATATTTCATCCTCGAAATGATTAGTGAAGTTTTATTAGAGGGAATAAAAGTTTATAAACGCTAATGATGAGACTAGAATAAAATTCAGGTTATAATTAAAAAGAATCTGTTGTGGAAAGATGCTACACACCTTAATAGACAATAATATTATTCGCTAGATATGTATTTAATCAATCCAGCGTCAAAAACAATAATTTTAGTGCATTTCATACAATTAATTCTAAAGTAAATAACAAAAAACAAATCTGAGAAGTGCAAAAGAGAATGCGTATTGAATAGAAAGTATACAGTCTTATTATATCTAATACAAAATTTTAACATGAATTTAAAATAGCCTCTAAACTTTTTTTAAAATTTAGTTAGTGCCCCTTTCTATCTTAGCATTAAGAAAATGCTTACAATAAACTTTTCGAAATCACTTCATTTCTAAATTAATCATTTCATATGATTCTTAAATAATTCAAATGACTTGTGAACTTATATAACTGGCAAAAGTTAAACTCAAGTTCTTAACCAACAATTTCAAATGAGGATTTCTGTTAAAACAAAAATAATAAATAATACAATAACAATGCACTCAGAATTAAATGAACTTCGCCGGTCTCAAACTAAAAATAGCGCGCTTCTGCGATTGCCACGTTTGCCTCTGTTCTGCACAACATAGCTCGTCGTCTTTTTTCCTCCAGCCGTAAAGTATGTTTTCAATTATTACATTACGGGCGGCAATTTCTAAATTTAATTCACTAAAACCTCTTTTATTTTTATTTCATTGGGGAACTTCATCTCTTGTAAGTTTAAACTGCGTCATTAAAATTAATCATGCGATCTTACGTAACCCTTAATGCAGATATCTCTTGCCCAATCGAAGTAATTTGTAAACCAAAAATGTTTTGACACTTCCTCCCTTTTTCCTCTGAAGTACTGGGACACTTTCACTCTTCTCGCTTACGCTTTCATCATGTTAAGACGGTGCAACAATCTTCTATGTTCGCTTCAATCGAAATAGTATCAACATTTTTCTGGAAATGGACATGATTGGAGTGCCATGTGAATTGTGGCCACAAAATGAGAATTTAAATAAATATGGAATTTAATCCGGCTCGACTGCTTATTCTTCAAAATGAATGAAAACTCAAGCATCAAGTATCTTCGCAATCATTATTTCTAGGCATCTACATCTCAGTGCTCTTACAGTCAGTGCTTTCCAAAATTGTGCAAATATTATATTATTAGTCGTACAGGATTGAATTACGTGTTACTAACCTTAATCGAACATTTCTTCCTCAGCTGGATTTCTGTAAAATAGTATCTGGAAATTCATCATTCTAAAAGTCAGTTATCATTGACTATTCAAATATGTTGTGCTATCATTACATACATATAATATTAGGTGAATTATATATATGTAGGAGCTAAGCCAGATTGAAATCCATTTTCAATTTATGAACCAGACGAGTATTTATTTTTTGCCAATCGAGCTGGCTGCATGAGATGTTTCATTGTCATTTTTGATGTGTAATAGCTAGTTTTCCGTAGAACGTCCTCCAAGATGCATATCTCTTTTTAAATAGGTCATCCTCATATGCTCTATGCTCTAGAGTAAAAATTAGAGAAACGAGTTGTTTTGAGACTGAATTTCCCATCAGGAAATGTATTGATTCTATGAGACTATTTTATTGCTGGGCGTATCATTTTGAAACACATGGGCCTTTATTCAATAATCGTATATGCTATATTAGACTTTAGACGGCCGGCTTGTGACATCTAGGAGGATCAGAGATGTGCCTTTATAATGATAATGTTATTAAAAGAGTTATAGTTTTATTATAGATAATTCTACTAGAGAACGCTTATAATTGTTATATTAACTCTAGTTTAATACATGTAGAGAAAGTAATGTTCTCTACATGTACTATAAATAATTAATAATAATAAATAAATAATGTAGTACATAAATAATAACTATAAATAAATATGTAGTACTATAAATAATAACTATAAATAATACAATGTAGTACTATAAATAATTAATAATAAGTTAATCTGAGAAAAAGATGACTTCATAATGCTTTGAAAGTCTAAAAATAAGAATAATTCTGAGAAAAAAAGTCTCGTTATCTTGCCTTTCGAAAATTAAGTTCTTTCATTTGCGCATTATGTCATACTAAACGGACACATTTTTGTTTCAAATATAACAAGAAAAATAAATTCTATCTTTAAAATATCTTTAATAATACTTATTTCTTCTTAAATTTAAGTGTTGATTTAACTTTTGCTCCAAAACATTTATTCAGAAAAGACAACATAAACACCTCATTATTCAAAGATTCATAATCTCAAAATATGTTCATTTCGCCAATTCTAAAACCTTCATATTTTGAATAGGATTATTTGAATGATTGCAGTCATTTCCAAGCGAAAATAATTTATCCAGTGTAATAGTTTCAAAGAAATTGCAAATGTACATTATTTACTTTATCGCTTTTCTGATTAAATTAAAAAAATTCTTGACACAATTATTTTATCGCTGAAACAAGTGAACATTCTACGAGAACAAATAAGCTTAAAATGTTCCTGCATTCCACAATCCGTAAGATATAAAAATTGATAGAAGGCCAGTAATATTGTACTGAAAAGAAATGTACTGCTTGTCAAGAACCTAAAAGCTAAAATTTTTGAATAAATTCATCTAAATTTTCTGGATAGAAATAATTTTGTTATTTTACTTTTGAAAATAATTGCGAACAATAGTCTCTGAACAGGATATTATTACCGGATTCCAGATCCTAGCTCTTTTTAGTTTAACCATTTGAGGTCGTATGCCTATTCTCAGTCACTAAACCATTTCTACCGTCTCAGTCGTATGTTTGCTCTCAGCCGCCAAAACTTTTCTGCCGTTTCAGGCGTATGTTTACTCTCAGCCTTCAAAACTTTTCTATCGTTACAGTCCTATGTCTACACCAGCCACCAAAGCTTTTCCACCTTTCCATTCATATATCTATTGTCAGCGCCAAAGCTTTTTTTCAGAAATCTTAGTTAAAATGGAGCTTCATATGCTCGAATTCACCGGAAACGTAACCCGTCTGAGTAATCGAAAACGTCAGCAACTGCATTGACTGTTTTCTGTATATTAAATGCAGATTTATGAAATTGCAGGTGTTAGAAATCTATTAAAAATACTAAATAATTCAAAGAATTCAAAATACACTTTCGCGCACTCCCAGAACCTAAACACCCAACATATTACGAGAGATATTGTTTCAGTTAAATTAAATGAATTAATTATTACAATGAACCTAATTTTGTTTTCTATCTAGATCCTAAAGTAAAAATACGTAATCTTGTTTTCAATTTTACTTTTATAAAAATTACGTAAGAAAATTATTTTTTATTCGTGTAAAAAGGAATTCATCGACTACTTTTCATTAGTTAAAATTAAACAAACACGTTATTTCTCTTAACATAAACTAATAAAATGAGCATTATTTATATATATATATAAGCGGCTTAAGTGTTTGTCGCCGAGAGTTTATTGTTGCCACTCAGAAAAATGAGCGCAGAAATTAACGTTTGCGCAGTTTTTAATTAATATCTCGGTTGATTAATGTCATACGAAGATGAGAACGGTATCGATGGATTCGGAGAAATTTTTGGAATCCGAGTATACGTGTCTCGAATTTCAACTCGGCGCCGTTCCGTAGATATTCGACAAAAAAGAATTTGGCACGTAGCCAAATCCACCTAATATCGAAAACCCAAAAAAGAAAGTAGAAAATGTAGAGAAAACGTAGGGCAAAATTAGTTTATAATTAATATCTCGGCTAATTAAAGTCCCACGAAGAGGAGAATGGTCCAAATGTCGTGCCACGGACCTGCGGAATCCAACTGTGTGCTTCGCTAAGCCCGGGAGCCACCCGTTTCGGAGGAGATGATGTTACTGCACCCCATATATATATGCGGCTTAAATGTCTGTGTGTCGCCGATTATTTATTGTTTGTTTTCGTAACTGTACTAGCCAATGGGGTGAAGTTGCCACGGCACAGGGTTGCAGTTTCAAATGACACGTAGACAATTTCCTGTAAAACTTGCCTCTGCTATGACCATCAATAAGTCTCAGGGCAAGCCGCTTAAGCGTATTGGCATTTTTTTACCTGAGCACGACACGGCACATTTTCTACGCGGTCAAATTTATGTTGCCTGTTCAAGAGTTCGTGAAAGAACTGAAGTAAAATTAAAAACAATTGATGGTCCTCTGCAAGGCAAGCTTAAAAATGATGGAAAGATCTACACAAGAAATGCTGTGTACAAAGAGATCTTTGACATGTGAATTAACATTTTATTATTTAAATCACCTTTATTTATTGAGCTAGCGGTGGGCTCTTAAGAAATGTACAACCAGTGGTTTCCTTCATTGCACTCTATTTTAAGCAATTAAGCAAGTAGAAGGGGGAAATCCCGTGGGGCAGTAAGCAAAGGGGCGTCCTCGCCACCTGCCCTGGGTAATTCACTTTGAATTAGCAGACACCTTTGCACAAATTTTAATTACAATTTATAATATCTAGAACAGCGGTCATTTCGTATGACCGCCGGGCTTTCTAGTTATGACATAAATCACTAAATAGCTTCTTTGATGTTTTTTTAATAAATTTACGATTTTAGTAATAAAAGCCTAATACAGTACTCTCTCTGTCCTCGCGAGGAAATACATTTTTAACAGTTCAAGCACATAATCCATTAAGTTGGACCAACTGAACCATATCATATTCTTCCTGTAGTTCTAAGTATGTTAGAACAAGATCTAGGACTTTAAATGCTTTATTATGTAAAGACCACAGATTCCAACTACTTCAGTGTTACCTTCGGAAATGACATTATTGCTATATCTTTAAAGTGTCAACAATTTCTTCCTTATTATAAGCCAATCTAAATGTTATACAGATGAATCGAAATTATCATAATAGCTTCTCCAAAAAAATTTTATACAATCGTTTTACATTGCGTTAAACGAAGAAAAAGTAAAAGCACACAAATAAATCATTAATAAACCTACTTTTACTAGGCATGTAAAAATTTGCGATCTGTTGGGGTGCTGGATATCTAGA